TTTGGAAAAGTCTTAGGCTTCTTTTTTCTTCATGGGCATAGCCTTAGAAATATAAGCTAGACTCTAGGCCTGAGCATATCTCATCCATTTTTTTTAGCACTTGCAGATTATTTTCTACCTTCTCCAGCAGCCTTCAAGGCTGTTCTGCTGAAGATAGTGAAAATCATTGCTGAACCCTAGCCGTAATAGATCTAGGAAGATATTTTTGTTTGTGAGAAGCAGTGTTGCTAACAGCGAGGCTGCCGCAGACTTCCTTGCAGTCTGCTTCTGCAGAGAGGCACTTGCTTTTACTATATATGGAAGAATGGCTGTATATTGTGAGACAACGGAGCTAAGTAAACAAGCAGCAAAACTGAGAAGAGGGGACTTGTGCATGCTAACTTCTCACTGAGGTGGACCCCTTTGCACGTACTGATGCCACACCACAGCCTCTGTCTTTAAACCAGATCCTGGTGACTTGGCAAAACTTTGTAATTGTAAAACTTGTATACACAGCTCAGAATCTGGGCCGGCATAGGGGTCATGTCAGAAAGGCTGAGCCAGACTACAGCTGTGTTTAGTGAGTTCCTGGTTGGCATTACTCAAGCTGCTGTAACTGGCCTGAGACAAGAGAGGTGCAGATAGATTCCCAGAATTGAAAGCTATACCTCTTCCTCAGAAACTCTACTTCAGTACTGCTACTGAAGTATGTCATGTGTTCCCCATGTCAATTCATAGCTCCTGTATTTGTAAAGCTACCACCTTACCTTCTATCTTAAATCCATCTTTATGATGGCAAAGGTAGATTTTAACCACCAGATCATATCTGACGAGCTTAAAAAGTGGTGAGCTCTAGTTTCTTCTTTTCTGTTTTGAGCTTCTTGGGTTCTACTCCTCATCCCTCCTGCTCTCTCCATATTTTTTAATCTGTTTTGTCCACTAGTTTTTCTGGTCTAACACCTAGCTTGCAGACTGTCTGGATGGGAGCTTTTATTTGTCCAAGTGATGCTTGGCACAGTGGAGTGCTTGTGCAATGCTGAGGTTCCTGCATGCACACAGAGTCAAAGCAGCAACAGCAAAACTCTGTTAGCTTAGCAGAGTAACTGCTCCCCCCAAACAGCTCCATACAGATGTTCCGGCTTCCAAAGCCTTAGGAGCCTTATTTAAGAAATGAGTGTTTAAGAAATGGAGCTTGGGGTCTACAGCTGTGTTTGCTTTATCACACTTTGAGTTCTAGTGACAGTCCACAGGAAAACATATGAGGAGAATTACAAAAAATGTTGCCCTTTACCTAAGTAGCATTTTGCAGTGACATATAGAATATGCCAGCAGTGAAAAGGGCTTGATAGTCCTCTGAGGGAGGACAGACACAAAAACAGTGTTTGGTCTGAATTATGCAAATTGCAGTAACTGCTATGGTCAGTCTTACAGTCATGTTCAGTGGGACCTGTAGCAGTGATATTTTAACCCATGGAATTAATTAAACAAACTGTTCTTTCCTTTATCCATGCTAATCTCACGGCTTTCTCAGGCAGGGCACCTGTGAACATAACTGTGACTTCAGTGAAAGCACTCAGTATTGTCTCCCAGGCAGGTGTTAGATTATAAAGTGGTTGCTCTTTAAGAGCATTTCTGCTGACTTCCTTTATACTCAGGTCTCTAGCTGTGGCCTTTACAGTCTCTGAAACAGAGCAGTTCCCCTGATCTAAGTGAGGAGACAGGTTTTTACGTACTTTCACTTTCTTAAAATCTTTATGTGGCTAAAAGCAGGGAACAAGTAAAAATGAATGAGAGAGAAATATGTTTTTAAGAAAAAGGGAAGGTTGTGATAGCTGTATCTTGGGTTGAAAAGAACCGGTTGAGAAGCACCTGTATCTTGTGTTGATAAGCACATCTGTTCTGTGCTGGTTCTCTTGCCCATCTGTGCATGGCACTTTGAACAATACTCTGCAATAAGAGTTTGAAGATAGTGTGGGTTTTTCATTATGTACCCATATTTTCCTTGCTGGCTTACTGCACTTCTCAGTTTTCTCCAGCATTATGTATCAAATAGACTTTTTTTCCCCCCAATTTTTTATTAAAATCTCTACAACACACTGTCTTTGCCAGAAAAATTTTGAATGACTTGTCCTCAGACGCCCCAGGAGTGCCAAGGATCGAAGAAGAAAAGTCTGAAGAGGAAACAGCAGCACCTGCCATCGCCACTGTTACGGTGCCAACTCCCATTTACCAAACCAGCAGTGGGCAGTACAGTATGTAGTCTGAATTTCTCAGTGGTGCTAGTAAGTGGGGATGAGAAGATGAAGAACTACTATTTCTATAACTGTTTGGACTAGCATAAAGCAGGAGGTGAAAATAAGATTACTTTAATTTGACTCTTTGATAACCATGCCTTTTAAACACATTCTTATTGTAAGTATTTGAAATGCTCAAGTAACATTCTGGGACTGCTTGCCAGTTAGGGCAGCTAATGCATCCTGAGGCAAAATATGAATTAGCCATAATGTTGTTATAAACTTTTTAACTTCAGGAACAAGATGAGGTAGTTCAGAAGTTTCTGGTTTTTCCTGGCAGATTATTAGTCCTGGTTCACAAAATTTTAACCTCATTAATAGAAAAAACATTACAGTCTGCATTTACATTTTTGGAAGGTCCTGAAAAAATAAGAACTTCAGCATCCTTATTTAAAATGTGTAATAAATACACATTTCTGTGTTTCCTTTATTCATTAGATTTTATAGATACAGTGCTTTGACTTAAAGGATTGAGGGTACAGCAGTAAAGCTAGAATTCACATACTGTCTCACACAAACAAACACAGTATTAAATATATAAAAGGAAGAACTACCTACTTGTTTACATCTTCCTCTTAAAATCTCTTGAAAAATTTGTATCCGTTTACTCCTTAGCCACCTTGCCTAATACCCTACTTAATTTTATTGAAACTAATGTGGTTAACTCTGCTTTCCTAACATAACTGTAAAATAACTGCTTGTGCAGATACTTGAGATTTTGGTCTGTCTGTATATAGGAACACAGTGAAATTCTGTGGAATCACCAATGAGGGGTGATGTCTCAGTACACCTGCATGGCAGGATTGAGGGAAAGAAAGGAAAAAACCCCAACGGAGTAAGACTGCTTGAAGGAAAAAAACCAACTATGTGAAACTGGACGTTTGTGAATGAAAACACTGCTAGGAAGGTGCTGAGGAAGTTACAGAGAAAGGGGGATACAATCAGAAGAAAAAAAATGCCAAAGCAAGAAGAAGGTGAAACACAAAATGGATAGCAATAGCAGCAGAGGAGACTGAAAGGCATAAAGCATGGAAGAGGAGAGGAATTTCAGATGAGAAGAAAAAAGAAAGGTCTGAGGAAAAGACCTAAACCAACCAAGAAGAAAATCTTAACTAACAAATTAAAAAGTATTCCCTGGGGGAGGATTGTAGCTTCTCTGTGTGATGCTGTTTTATCAGATAAACTAATTTGTGTTTTAGACTGTGTTTTTTTGCGCCCCCCCCCACACACACACGTGTCTCACAAAAAACTTACTTTCAAAGCGTGATTTCTTTAATGTACATTAAAGCCACATGTCTGATTTCAGGGTGTATAAGGGTTCAAGGGATTTAACTCAAACCAGTATTCTTTTATATCTAGGTTTAATACTGTAAGTTAATGAGTAAATTAGTGTCTTAAATGCTGTGTCCATTTTTTTTGTCTTCAGTTGCTATTACCCAAGGAGGAGCAATACAATTGTCTAACAATGGCACAGATGGAGTACAAGGTCTCCAGACATTGACTATGACCAATGCAGCTGCAACCCAACCTGGCACCACCATTTTACAATATGCACAGACCACAGATGGACAACAGATACTTGTACCCAGCAACCAAGTTGTTGTACAAGGTGAGAAACTTCACAGCCAGTCATTCTGTATAACATTTTCTCCATGCAGATAGAAATTGCCAACCTAATTCCTGCAAATGTGTCAGGAAACAGAATTAACAGCTTTGGCACAGGTAAGTCTCCAAAATGATTAAAGGAAATTCTGGACAAAGCTCTTTGTCACATTTTCTTGGAGCCTTTTGCTTCAGATTGATAAAATTGTGGATATTTTGGGTTTACTGCTTAAAACAATATTTTTTTTTACCCCATTTTCCATGGGGTATTTCCTGCATTTTGTCCACGATTTCCTTTTATATGTTCTGCAAAAACTCATACCACTTTAGAGTTCTGAGTTCTCCCAGATAGTTATCTGCAACAATAATAATTTAAAGCAAAGCATTAAATTTAGGAAAGAAAGTTGTTTGATACTTTTCTTTCTCTAAGGACACTTTAATTTACTAGTAATTTTTTCTTCTTTTCAATTACAAATCATGCTTTCTTCCTGTTGTGGCTTTTGTAACTAGTGACCAAGTACTTAATCATTTAGGAAAGTGCTTTAAGAGATCATTAGGTCTAGCCCTCCACTTGGAGCAAGCCAGGCTACTTCAACTTAGAATAAGTTGGGTTTTTTTATTGTATTAAAATATATGTTTTGGTTTATTAAAAATTGAGGAGTATAAAAAAACTCTGTTTATTAAAAATAACAGAAAAGTGTACCCCTGCTTTTATGATTGTGAAGCAGGTGATTTGGAAGTTACCCAGCAAAGAGGTCTCCAGGCATCAGTGAAAATACATAGCCAAGAAAAATACTGTTGTTTCATTGATCTTACAGTTTTTATGTTCTTAAGGACATGTGATGGGTCCATATACCATGAGTGGTATATTTTTTTACTAGCTCAGGCAAATAGAACACACTCCTAGATTACAATAAATAAACAAAAGAAATCCAAGACCTTGTTCGTTCTAGAGAAGTAGTGAAGTTGAGTGCCTAGCTTGCACTGTCTCTGTCTTGTTGGAGTAAATGCTCCATTTCTACACCCTTTTTTCCGTGCCAAATACTTAACACATACAGTTTCTCCTTTTGCAGATAGACATTTGGAACATAGCTAGAAATACTGTTTTCCATCCTTCCATCTTCTTAAAACTGCCCAAAAAACAGAGAAGTAAAAAGAAATATACTAAGGGACAAAGAAGCACAGCAATACAGCAAGATCAAGTTATTAAGCACAAGTGAAGACTTCTTCTTCAGCA